CGTGTGACGTAGGTGGTTAGTTTAAAATGTTATAAGATATAATTGACAGAGGACTGTTGGTTAACAGGGACGCGTAGATTATAATGATTGTGAGAGTACCTACCTGTGATGACGTCACATTATAATATATTATACCCGGGGTCTAAAGTATAATAGACCGGTCTAGATGTTTGATTGGAAAACATGCTGAGATACGATAGAATGTTGATCGTTTAGTGGAAATACCACAGAGGATAAAATGTAGGAGGAGACTATGATAAAAAAAGAAACAAAGTTCTGTATATTGAAGTAAATAATTTAGATCTAACTTTCTCACTACAAGAAGTTTATTATCAGATAAAAAAAACTGCACATAATGAGTTTTAGGACCTATATTTTACTTACATTACTTATATGTAAAACCATATAATTCTTTCTATCTCACTTAATTATACTAAATCGTAAATGAGAAACAAAGTATTTAGAAGAATATTGATATGTTATATTAATATTCTGTTACTAAATTTCTAATACCTACCTAGTCAAAATCGGTCCAGCCGTCTAAGAGATTAGTCGGAACAAACAGACGGATAAGAAAAAAAATCTTTTAGATATTGTCATCGTCGTATACACATTTATATGCGCTTAATGAAAAACTGCTATCTATTTTGATATTAAAACAAGCGCTTCAATTTAATTTATTTGAAGGTAAAGTTAAGCGTAAGTTACATCAGATTTAAAACAATTTTTTATAAGATACTCGAACACAAACAGAAGGACAAAGGTTTTTAATCAACCGTTATCATCACGTCCTTATAAAGCGCGGCTAAATGACTTCTTTGAAACAATTATTACGCACGAACGATGTCATTTATACAAGAATATTATTATGAGAATCTTGAATGTTAATTCCTCTTTTCGTCAGTAGTACACTTACCACTAGTTTGCATAAACAACAAACAGACAGTGTATAGTTTAAACTCATATTTGTCATCGAGTGTCAACATATGAATGGTAAGTCGGTAATTAGTATAAACACTAATTGTCTTTTGTGAACTGTTTAAGGTATCGATGTACTTATGGTTGTAATAACTTTAAATTAATTTGACCACATCCATATTAGTATGTGATTGATACTGTCTCGGATGCTGTAATATTAATCGACTATTTATCTCCCGTCTCAGTGATGAAAGCACTAATTAACGCCATTCGCGAAATGAGATATGCCGGTATGTTCTTTAATATTGTTTAAAAGAATCTTTAAGTCGTGGGAGGAGTTTTATTTGGGTATATTTTATTGTTTTTTTCTTTAATTTTGTATTCAACTTAATATATTTGTTCATTATGTCCAGAAAACTTTATGGAAATAAAGGTGAAATGTTAGGACTTAGGTGTTTCGGTCATTATTCGTACATTCATCTCATATCTGAGTAAGAATATATTGGTAAAATATACCTAATATTATATTATGTTTATATATAATCGACTGTTCTTGCCCGCGAATTCGTCCGCGTTAATTTCGGCAATAGTAATATGAACTTACCTATATCTGACCGAGCGAACTCTATTTCGCCCTAGAAACCATAAATAACCAAATATTTGAATTTATTAAGTTTTTTGTCTTTCTCGATCGGACAATTTAAACATTCTATATCCGTCTCCTAGTTCTAATCTATCTCTCCACCAATTTTCAACCATAAACTCTACAGCCGTTCTCGAGTTAAAAATAGTGTGCTGTGTAACTAACACAACTTTCTTTTATATATAACGATTCAAAGACATATGTACTTATGTTAATTGATAGTGTAAGACCTATTTGATCTCGTGACTTCGTCCATCTCGTTTAAGATATTAATAAAGTTTCTGTGTCTGACAAAACACATGACTGAATACGCAGTGATCGTAAAAATCGTTAACTTTTAAATACTTAAATTTATATTTATCTATATTGATCGTAAACACTAAACTCTCATATACAACTTTAACCTACAATACCTAGTTTATTGTATGTTAGTTTGTCTGTGATGCGAGCACAATACATCATTTATATAGATTTTCTGTTCTCAGCGTGAAACCATAATATGTAGTGCATTGATTCATAATCTCCATATCTTAGCAGGTCATCTCGGCTTGTGGATACTGTTCTCATCTCCCAGGTGACCATTACGTCATAGATGACGTAACTCGCGCGGTGCTCTAATGCCGTGGGTTGCGTCACTCTTGTAAGTACACGGACTTTGTACCATTTGTTATATTATGACCAAAATTGGACTACCTACTTTCAAACCTTTGTCTAGCAACCGAGGAAAGAGATGTGAAGAATGTTTTATAATAGTTTTCAAAGATTCCTTGAATATGGTATGAGAAATCTACTTTCCATAGTAATATTCGCTACCTACAATTTATATTTGTTTATTTCATTCAAATATATTTCTTGAATTATACATATTTAATAAAATGCTGAATCAGTGTGTGTATAAATGCGAGGGCCGCGGAATGATATGGAATATAGTATCGATTAAAACCTTAAATTAATACGTACCTAGTATATTTTATACTGACTGGTACATTTATAACATATATATACCTACCTATATGTTCGTGTGACTGTCTGTCTGTTAACATATACCATGATCGAATCGATCGTTAGTACAAAGTGTATGTAGTACTCAATGAGTAAGTATTCTATAGTAGTAGGTACTAACTAACTTTGTCTCAGAGAGTGATTAATGATAAAGGATGTTTAACGTTCCATAGATAACAGGAGCCCTACAACGAGTTAGACCAGAAAGTTTGCCGTATTACACTTGAGAATTGATATGATATTTGTGGGTGAAAAACTGAAAAACTGTCTGTGTTTTGATAGATGATACACACTTCTGGTAAGGATACAAAATGTATTGAATCAGATACTAATGGATATATTTTTATAATGTTGTTATTGTCACTGTCTATTTTACGCTTTCGATATAAAAGTTATCTTAGTCTATATATATAGATAGATTAAGAGATTTAGTGTTGAACAAAAGTCAAACAGATATGTTGACCAGTGACCAGTGACCAGTGACCACCCGCGCCGTATAGTTTACAACTATATTATTACGGTACCGTACTAATGTACTCTGACTACTAAACTATTTGTATTGGACTGTATGTATGTGTGTGTGTGTGTGTGTGTGTGTGTGTGTACACGGCTACTGTATGTATTGTTTTAGTTTTAATACTTTAATAGACCGTTAATGACCAATTAATGTTTCTTTTTCTAATTATGTTCATTTGTTTATTCAGTAGTAACTGTTTAATTGGAGGTGTTAATTACCAGCCATTAAAAGTATTATTGAATACAATAGAAGGAGCCTAATGTCTTCATCAGAGATGTTCTTATAATGGATGACGGTGCGTGTTAGATTTGAACTGAGTGTTCTGACCACTCATTGAGTACACTACTGGCTTTTATTACTACATACATCTACTGTTTACAACTATATATTGTTATATCAATAATCACTATTAGAGTTTTAACTTTATGAAGACGATTTTAGCTAAAAATACATTGAAAACTTTTTATGTCTTTTATAATAAAAAAAATAATCAATTTATATAGGTATAAAATGTAGTTTAATATGTATGTATGTATGTTATTTTAGTCGTTTCGTCCAAAACATTGCTCCAGGTGAGGCTCGAACTCACAACCCCGGCATGTCTCACGGACACTGTCTTATAAGTACCGTGCGCTAACCGATTGCGCCACTGGAGCTATGGTCACATTAACCACAAATATATACAGATTTTGTATAATTTACATACTTATTACTTTAATACTCGTATTATTTTAATTTATTTTTCACATACCTACTACTTGCATTTGAAAGTATCTCATGATATTTTCATCTCGTCTGCCCGTGATCGAACGGAACATGCAGTGAACGAAACGTCGGGAGTATGTATTTATGTAGTTTAAAATAAAAACGCGTAGTATGGAAATATTTAATTTTATTTAAATGAAAGAAAGCGAAAATCTGAGATATCATTGTACAGGTCCTTGACAATCACATAAACTGTCGACTGAAGTATTTGTATTGACATGTCTCATAGTAAATAGTTGGTTTAATTAAAGATTATATAATTTAAGACAGTTTGACCGAAGTAAATCATATGCAGAACATAACTCAAGAGAGGTAACGATTGAATACGACAGTTTACACAAAATGAGAAAAATAAAAATTGATCCTCTTGTCATACCTATACCTACCTACCTACGGAGATAGAATCACACTTTGAATTTGAAAGAAGGAATATTTTTTATAGGATAATATCTTCAAATTTCATCTTAAAAGGTCTTCCTAGAAAATAAGTTTGTAATTTCCTGTTGGTTCAGAATTAAATTAATTTTACAGAATCAAAATAATCGAAGTAGATGTTAATGATAACAAAAATAATTGAAAATTAGCATATCATATGATTGATCGATGCGTTAACTTAAAATTTGTAATTAACTTCGTAAGTATTACATGTGTTTATAGTTTTATACCATAAATATTTATACATATTTTAGTAAAAACCCCGTCATTTGAGCAAGTACCGGCTGTGGAATCCAAAAGACTTCTGAGAAATACACTTATACCTATTCTATTCCAGTGATATTGTTATTTTGGTAAAATTACGACGAACTCGGTTCGATACTTATTACGTATCGACTACAGAGTGACAAACATACATATTTTGATAGAATTATTAATTTAATAAGTATACCTATGTATTTTTAAATAATTACTTTTAAGTATGTTAAGTTAAAAGATATAAATTCTCAACAAACTATTTGTATGAAATAACTAGTGAATAGCTATATTTTATGGAATAAAAACTACTGAGTATGATAAGCAAGTATATAGTAAAAAAAAAAAAAATTGTTAGTGTTACAGAAGTCGAAAGACGTAACAAAAAAAACAGAAGCTTGAACAATATAAGTGGGGTCAGAGAATGAACACGAACAATGACGAGGAGCTACCGGCTCACGAACAATGAGACGACTTGAACAATCAGCGAAACATGGACTGGGAACGAGCAACGAGCAACGAGCAACGACGAGCACGAACGAGCAACGACGAGCACGAACGAGCGACGAGCAAGGCAACATGAGTTACGTAGGTAAGCAAAGATTTGTATTGTTATATAACGCGGTATTGATCACTGTTTTGTGATTACATTGTATTGATTTACATAATTAACACATTTTTGTAATAATTATACTATAGTTTATAGTAGGGTTTGCCCGTGACTTCGTTTACGTGGGCTTCGGCGTAAGGTTCAAAGAGAAATGATTAGAGTTTAAAATAATTATTATGTATTTTGATAGCGATAAAAGTATATAGTAGTAGTAACTGTTATCAATATATACTGAAAGTTAGCTATAACGTAGTGTAGTGGCTTCGCCTGGAGATGTATTTGGGACCTTTATTTCTGGAGAAATGGTATTTCCCTCCAACGGCTAGATATTGTTTCAATATTATTCGCTTATCTTACATCCATTTGTGATGTAGATGAGAGGTTTGAATCCTAAGATTTTCTCTCTCTTGTTAGCTTGTGATTTTTGTGTTTACTTTGGCTATTTCTTCCGCCTGTACGTAAAAGTCCAGAACTCAAGAAAAATCAAAATTGTATCAAAAATGTAAAAATCAAATTTGTAGTAAGTTTACTAATGATATTAAATAACATCTTAGAGGTAGTTTCTTACACGCCAGAAATTTTAGGAAGAAGTTGTTATGTTTTGTCGAAACTGTAGGATTTTTAACTTGAAATGAAGAGATTGAACGATTCCTTAAAAGGGATTCGTAAGTTATAGTTAATTGTTAATGAAAATATATCTATTGGTCCGGTCGTTACCGGCGTTCCTCACGATGTTATTGAAGAAATCTGTCTGTTTTCGTCTATTGGTCCAACTTAATCTGCAAACTTTGCAAGGATACCCATCAGAAGAATATGTTTAAGCTGCAGGAGCTTCGAAAGTTGTGGCATAATCTGGAGTCATGTATTTTTTATGTTACTAGGTACATCTCATTTCTTAATGTTAAATGCTTTTCTGATACTCTGATTCAATTAATAATACATATCGTCATTAAGTTTTTTGTTAACAATTATTAAAGTTCCTATTTTCAGTTATTATATAAATCATTGTAGTTATTCTCTTTTCGTGTCATCTCAGTTAAACTATTTAACATCTAGAGACGAGGTTGGTTTGTGGTGATTATGAATTAAATGTGTTGATAGACACTTAAAGTATTTATTGATACCTACTATATTATTGTTGTCGTATCTTGTTCACTTATATTGGATGCTGTATGCATCTTTCTAAGGTCTAGCATCTTCCGTGATCTCTAATTCTGTAAGAGACTGAGTGCGATTGTATAAAAACCTTATCTTATACGTCATGGAAACCTTTTACATAGCTAGTCTATGTTATAATATATTCATTAATTATCAAAATATAAATTTGTTTTTCTTCAGTAATACAATCTAGATTAAAAGAAAAGTAGTAGAAAGATTGGAAATAAGAAGAATAGAATCTTTCAAGAGTTTCTCGTAAACCAATGCAAATATAAATTAAATAGTTGATATCATATGTCTTAGATGATGAAGAGCTGTTCTAGTCTATGTATCACAGAGTGTGACAATACTGACTGTCTTCATTAGGGTTTTATCACACCACTCTTACGGCATCAGCAAGAGAGAGACAGAGACAGATCTTCCTTCTTTCTCGATTTATCTTCTACCATCTCATAATTTCTAGAGCGAAACATCTTCTAGACTAGAACTAGGTGATGATAAACCTTTCATCATCAGTACTAACGTAACAAACAATGTAACCTTCAATCAGAATAAAACAAATATCAACAAGTTACTGAACGGAAAACAAGCGTGACGCGGAACCAGAAATATACCGATTTAAAAAAAAACAAGTTAATAAAAGTTAAATTAAATATATTACGTGTGTATTATATTAATATTTAAAACTTTCCGCAGTCCTTATCAGCAGTCCCAGGCGGCAGATCTCACGCCGCTCGTCGCTCTGATAGCCGCTGATTTGAATATTTTTATAATGAACTGATAACGCGACCCGGCCTCGCTCGCTTAATGTACCTACAATATATTGTATTCATAACTCATGTTATATGTACATTGAGATTATACTTACATTTGACGTAATATAATATTTTTTTTATATTATTGCTGTATGACGTTAAATTTCTTAAATATTTTGTTGTTGTTTCAACTGAATTTACTTATCTAAGTTATATTCTATTTTATTATTTCGATCCGTTTCTAACAGACCACTTGTTATAAGTTTTAAATGATCATCGTATTAAGAAACAAAATTTAAAGTATTGAAATGTATGTATGAATAAATGAACTTATTGTTGATAGGAGAATGAAACGTCATATTCAGTTGATGACTGACGATCTGTATCTATAAGGGACTATTCATTATATGCTAATACTGAAACGCTTCTTGTTAATATTGTGTTAAAATTAAGCTTGAAACAAGCTAAAGTCATGATTTGAGTATAAATTCCGCAAATTTCATGATGACTCGAGCAGCTGGTGGTAGCGGAAGCTGATAAGAGATAAGTTATCACAGTGATAGCGGCGACACCTGGCCTGAGGTGGCTGCTGGCTGACACACACACACACATACATATAGAAATATATATAGTATAGCATTAAACAATAGAAGAAGACAAGCGCAAGACTCTTAAAAATATTGTTAGACTTCTCGATGATATTGAAGTTATATGCAGGAAATATGTATGTAGGTTTGTTTGTGTATCCTTTACTCCTAAAATTATTGTAGAAGGTTTATAAAAAATATTGTTATTAGAATGTAGATGATACTAATTTAAGTATAACACACGTCAGAAGTGTTTACAGAATAGAAATAATAACGTTTACTATATACAGAACTAAATGGTATTTTGCGTACAAAAGAGAATTGTTTCTATTAACACCTGAAGACATAATATTTCAGATATTACTTTAATAATACAAGAATATATTCGTACAAAACTTTATGTTTAATATTGCTCGTCTCATATATAATGCATGTGTTCGTTTAATGATATGTATCTTAATATTTTAATGATTATTAAAACAGTCGGGATGCAGATAAATATGCAGTGGTATTTTAAAACGAAGCCGCGGCCGCCGGCGGAGTCAATGACTGCGTTCAGATTAGAAACGCGCTTTCTACTAGCGGCGGCGTTAACCTGGACGCGGCGTTGCCAGCTGGGCAGCGCTAACTCGGAAAATTATGGATACGAAAGTCGACAATTAATAATTAATTATAGTATTGTGAGGCAGAATCTGTCGAGTTGGTGTGTGTTCGAGAATTGATGGTAAGGACATTGTTACGTCATCAATCATATTATTACAGCCACACGAATGGACGATAAAATTTACTTGCATAGTATTTAGCTACTGGCTTTCTAGTAAACTGTTAATTAACAGAAAAAAATGAACGTTAATTAAAGAAATGTTCAGTTTCCTTTGTATTGAATATCCATCGCAGCGGAATAAGTTGTATTATTGAAAGGAAAACGTATTTTTAGGGAAAAATGAGCCTGGTGTGTTTATACGAACAGGAAACTCGACGTGTTCATTGATAAATGAAACAATGGCGAAACGTAATTTAAAAAAACATTAACGTTTTTTGTTTGCTCGCTTTGTTTTCGTCAGTTATCTTTGTGTGCGGTAGAATTATCCTATACTAACAATCAGTACATAGTTCCTTTGGAAAGCGATTCTTCCTATTTGTAAAATCTATGTGATAGTTAAGCCAGTGACTTTACTCGCAACGAAGTTATAAATATGGGACGAAGTCTAAATCCTGAAATATTCCCGCTCCCATAACTATGATAATTGATAGTCATTTCTAATGATTATATGAATATGAGAGTTTATGTATAGTTTAATTTTAATGTAATTGACATCGTAACCGTTTTGAAGTTGTTAAAATAAGTCCAAAATGTGATCTAAGATTTTCGCGAGTATTCATTTAAATGAAACTATGTAGTTTTATTTAAAAATAAGTGTAAATTGATTATTATTTTTTAATTTACGATATTTGTTTTTGTTAAGAGCGGAGCAATTTAAGATATTTCCATAACCTCATGGGAATAGCTTGTAAAATTAATTATCGATTATGGATTATAATACAAGTTCTACTCGATAAACAGAAAATCGAAAAATAATTACATTAGGTATATGTTTTAAGTTATAACGTTTTAGACATCGGTTTGTTCCATGTTTATGTTCTAAATAGTTTATAAATAATCATTCTATATAAAATATTCGAGTTCATTAAATTTTTTTTGAGTTTATCTCGATTCTGTATTTCTACGTATTGTATTTTAAACACTACAACCTATGCCGTATCCCGGCCGTACTTACATTGTAATGAGATGTTATCATGAACTATCTGATAACGTTACGGATGATTCACGTTTGATAAGTATAGCGGGAGACAGAAGATGGAGAGAAAGAGAGAGATGGAGAGAGTTTTCTTTCAATTTGTTTCATGAGAGGGTGGCGGGGAAATGATGAAGGAAATGATGGTGACGATGGTTGCGAATTTGATCACGTGAACTATCGCGTATATTACAGAGTATAGAATAGGGAGGTAGTTTGATATTTTAGTACTTAGGTATACAGAAAATATAAGTAACTGGGTTAACAACTAAAGATTTAATTAGACGCTGATTAGAATGCTTTAATGTTTATAGACGTGATAGAAGAAGGATTTTGTACAGAAATGCGATGAGAAATGGAAATATCAATCAACATTTTCCTAAAGATGAATGGCTCGAGTAACAGAGTCGTATAAAAAATATTTATAAATTATTCTCAGGGTATTTAAATGAACAATGAACTCTATTTTTTCAGGTATAATGTGTTTTAAACTTGGTCACTGAATATTCTATTAAAGATACTACGCGGGATATGAAATAGATGGTAATGTTTGGACTTTGAAATCAATAGTTCTGTTAAGTAATTATGCATTGATTTGTCTTTTATTTAGTCCGGTTTTGGTGCATCTATTAATAGTTTGCTATTTGTGTCCCGTCGTCTACTTACCCCGAATTGACTCAAAACATATCACATATAAAACATGTTCAAACATTAAATGGAGTTTCTTACATTCGCTAAACGTCCCTTGAACAAAATATGTATGAGTTTCTACAGGAAAGACCTTTTTATTTGGTTAACTACGAATGAACGAAGAGAAAAATATCAATATTACTGTACATTAATTATATTAAAAGACCATATTTAGATAAGTTCAGGGCTGGTTTTAATATGCGGCGCCCGGTTCGTGTCGAGAAAATTATTTATTTTGTTGTATTTGTCTCGTTAAAATATTAATAACTGTATATTTATTTAACTGTCATTTTACTTGTATCTATTAGACAGAATAATTAATATGTTTAGTGATTACTCGCGTTATTTAGAAATTCACGCTGTTTAAATATAAACAATTAATATCGTCTATTTTTAAACGTCTTTATTTCGCGATGTCTCATAATACCAAATATGGAATTAAAATGATAATAATAAAGGAATACCTATAAAATTATTCAAAACAACAGTTTTCTCCTCACTTTTTATTATTTCATTTATCGCCGCTCTCCTGTTTTATCTTAATTTCAAACAACACAGCGATAATTACGCAGATAAGGTTTTTGCATTTAGGTATTTATGATAATTGTAGCCTTGTCATGTAAAAAAATATATTATATCACCGTGATAATGACGTCATTAGTGGATAGTTAGCGATGTTGAATTAATTGAAGTAACGACTGGTACATTCTATACGACTGAATGTACCGAAGTTGATTAAAAGTAAAAGCTGTTAAGGTGCACGTTTATTTATCGTCGGTACAAATTGTAACACTAATGGTATGTTATAAGTGCTCACGTTTTGTCGTGAGTTAAAATAACTTTACAGCAATTACTCGGAAGCAATTGATTACATTAATCTGTCCGGAGTAGTGCCGCCGTACGGTCGGGATCGAACGCGCGACCTATACATAGCCACCTGGACGGTCACATACAAACACTCATTATACTAATAGGGTCTCGTTGGCGTTAGACGAGTTTCAAAACGAACCCTACGCTCCCCTACACAAGGAACATATTATTTCTCCCTCGTCGACCTGGAACCCTGTCGCCCTAAGCCCCCGTCAGTATTCTGTTAGTATACAATAAATATTCGGCGCCTGTTGTGCTCCGAGTACACACATATACATAGCGGTGAGAAACGTCGCCGAACGACGGAGCGGCAACGTCGCAGCGCTTCACCGCGGATTCCAAGCTAGCTTCAATTTTCGACGTCAATTCGTCAGGGTTCCAAATAGTAGTGCCGTATAAAAAGCAGTTCTAATTATAAAGTTTTATAGCGTATATTAGTTTGCGAGTGTCAGTTGGTACCTTGTCACAGTGAGCGGTCGCAGCAGCGCGAGGGTAGCGGGACGCGTGTCGCTTGTAGACGTATTGTGTTAGTTTTTTATGACGGCGATAGAATCGATGTCAGTTGGCAGATCTTTTATTTTACCGTTTTTTGGCCTCGTTGTGAAACAGACAACAGATTCATTACAATAGACTGGCTTGAAACAACACACGGACACTACCCAATATACATGTTGGTGAAATTACAATTATTTACATGCTAATTAATTCTTTGATATATTTTTTATGAAAAAAAAACGATATTTAAAAAACTGAACCGATCCGCCATGTTTTTTAAAGTCATGATGTTTATTATAAATGCACCTTTCCTTGTTTGTAATCTTAAAATGGTTCATAAAACGCAAAATTATTAATAAAAATTCCAATAACTACTTAATTTATTCCAAATTAATATTTTATAGTAAAGTTCAAAGTAAGATTTCTTATATAAATCACTTTTTATTAGATCATGTACTTTAATTCTGTGGATTAAGTCAAACCGCGGCGATTTCGCTTGTAAATTGTATTACGGAAGTCTCAAAATGTTGATAGAATTATGATTTTAATAAAACTTGAAGAGTATTTTATATAACAAATAAATCTGAAGGACAAATCCTTGATCAAATACTTTTAATAGTAATAATGTGAAAAGAACAAGCGACAATACATCATAGATACATTTTTGCGTTAATATCCTATTTCGTATCAATTTATAAAAAGTGTGATGGAGCATAATCATGGAAAAAATGGGTTTTTCTTTATATTTTAGAATAAACATTGAGGTCATGGTGTCGCCAATTAAGAAGAATTTTTTATTATTCATAAATTTTTTACGATTCTTAGAATTGAAACTGAAGCATTGTGGGCTGCGGCAGAGTTTTAAATCGGATTTTTGTTGTATCGTATAAATAAATAATTAATTATTTGTGAGAAGAGTCTCTCGAGTTACAACAGATATTATAAGAATGGTAAATAATAATTTCTTAATTTTCACAGAAAAAAGTTTGAGTATATTCAAATAATGTCTCTCGATGTTTGACAGAAATCATTTTAAAATGTTTAAATTGTAAGATTGCGGCACGAATCACGCAAGATTTGATTTTGTTCACAAATAATTTTACAATTATCATACTTTATTAGTAATATTATGACTACTTGAAATAACGTTACAGTTAGATTGACTTATTTTATACAAAGTCTATTATTATAGTAAATTAAATGGAGATTTACTGGTATATGCTTCCTTCAATTAGGAGAGAAGCTGATTCAGAATTCATGAAATATCGTGAGTCAGTTAGCTAGTCTCATGACTAGGTACGTATAAACCTTTATTGAGTAACTTCTAGAATAATCAAATGGTTTCTACACTTGACTCATGATGTGAACTACTTGTGAATGATTGTATCATTCATTCGTTCGATGACTGAGTAGTGAACGATTATTGTGAGTCAGATTGAACTAACCCGCGACGGATACTTGAAGGATTTTAAGTCAATCTACCAACTATAATAATTTTTATTAATATGAGAGTTATTTGTTATTGAAATATTACTTTAGATTAGTTTATTCTTTTAGTTATTTAAACCATTTTGCTATTAGTTTCAGACTTTAATTGTTTTTCGCTGTAAGTTTAGTTTAGCGCGCATTTTCGTTGCTTTTAAACCAATCTTGTAGTTATTCGTAGGGAGCACATAAGCTTGTCAAACTGTAACATTTTTCGGATTTTATAAAATACCAGTTTACCTAATAATAAAAGTGGCAGATCTTTATCCATTCCCGAAAACTCTCTATTTGGAAGTCGATTCACTATTTTTATTGTTACACTACTCTCTTATTTAAATCCAACCAACACATTTTACATCTATTTTTCCTACAAGCGTATGCATAAT